CCGTTGTACAACCGTATATATGAGACCCTGAGTCAGACCCAGAGGCGGAGTCGGTCGCAGCTTTTTTTTTCTCCCCCTCTTCCTGTCGGAGCTCTACGTTCACTCTGCATGCTGTTACCAGGGCAGGTAATTTGAGCAGCAGTGGTCAAAATACCTCAGAAACTCAAACAAATAGGCTTTAACAAGGCTTTAATAAGCTAAACAATAGAGGTACATGAGAAAACGTGTTCATAACGAATGAAAATAAATATTTAAAATTGTATGTGTCCGTGCCGGTCTGAAACCCTGGTCTCCCACTCTCTGGTCCAACACTCTAACCACTGCCCTATTGGAGGCCTGTTGTGCAATGAGCTACAACATTGCACAACAACAACACAGGGACGGCTTTTTATACTGAGGAGGTGGAGTTTCACCTGGGGTTTGCCAGGTAAGGGGATGAACGCAGGTTCCGGTGGGTTGTCGTACGGCTTGTGACATCACAAAATGACGGAAGTATAAAACTTGTCGTTAATATTCATTAAAAATACATTTACTTACAGTAAATCTGGGTGCATTTTTTGGTCCTAGGACTGGTTTTTAAAGAAGTACCGTACATAAACAAAGATGAGAATAAAAACCTTTTAAAAAGTGAATTTTGCATAATAGGTCCCCTTTAAAAGTTCTAACTTTAGCTTATTGTATGTCATTAAAGGAAAACAGCGGTTTTCTCCTCCACGCCCTACTGAAGAGGGGTTTAAGTGATGAGCAGCCGGTACCTGCCAGCGAACATGTCAGCACGGCCACAGCAACAGACGCCATGACGCCCGGCACGAACGATTTGCTCGCGATGACTCCAGGTTCGCCGGCCCTCAACCACCCTCAGCCCCAATCCACGACTTCTGGGCCTCAGTTGTTCCACAGGAGCGCCAGGCTTGAACCCGGCTCCGGAGACCCTTTAGAAGAAGAGATAAGAACCCGACTCAGTCAAMTGGTCGGCCGAGGCAACAGCAAAGACATCAGCTCGTCGGACGAGGAGTGCGTGCAGACGCCCAACAAGCAGCCGGTGAAAGAAAGCGAGAGACAGAAAGACAAGCCGAGGCCTAAAGACACCGAGGGACAACGACAGCGCTCAGGGGACAAGAGAGAAAAAGGAAACGGAGCCGCGGAGCGGACGTACGGACAGGAGGCCAAAAGAGGAGCGAGGGCAGGGAGGAGCGCGTCGGTGCGGGATGAAGTCCAGGAGAGGAGGCTGGAGGCGGGAGGAGAGAGTCTGGAGGAGCRAGTAGCTGAGCAGGAGCAGAGGCGAGGAGACAGGAGAGAGGTGAACAGAGTAAGTAAGAGACAACACAAGAGAGACTCAGAGAAGSAGACTGAAGTCCGGAGGAGCGGATCCACCGCCAGTTCGCCCGCTGTTACACCGTCTGCCCAGGAGGGGGCGCAGTCCAACAACCAGGTGAGACGGTTGAAACACACAGGGCTGAGTTTCCATCGTCCACTCAGTTTTCTGTCTGTCTGTTGCTCAACTTTCAGTTTTCATAAAAAAAACCTCCCTTTATCGCTCCCATTTATGCTGTTATCAGCCCTTCATCTCGTGCTTTTCCCTGATTTGCTGTGTTTCCCTCGGCTGTCTTCTGTGTGCTTCTTTGTGTCGTGTGTGTGTGTGTGTGTGTGTGTGT